TGTATACATACATATATATATATTATATTTATATATATATACATATATGTATATATATATATATATATATTTATATTTATATTTATACATATATATATGGTTGTATTCAAATTGAAGTTTGTTTTCGATAGCAGACGTAGGTATTCTGTCCGAGTAATGTATGTGGCCTGATTACGTGAGCAGCATTGTATCATGTGTTCCCAACTGTGTCTCAAATATTTTCACCCGCACTAAATGGTGATTGGAACGATAGGTGAAGGATTCAGCGATCATGGCAGGGCTTCAATGTTTACATTTATTGAAGCTAAATTTCATCCTAACTTGCGAATGTAGGTTCGGTACATTAGAAAGGCGATACTGGAACACAACCCCGCTTGTCTGTCTACAGGTCCCCGTGCGTTGGAAGGTGTCCAAGTGCTGGATGTAGGTTGTGGAGGAGGCATTCTTTCTGAGGTGAGTATGGTGTTTCAAAACAGCTTGGCATGCCAAGTCGAGCTTACCCTGATTAATGAGACGCCCTGTATCACGTCATACGAGTGCTTGCTGCCTGTCCATATTGTGGTCTTTGCATCCGGCCTATACAGAGGTTAACTTTGAACACTGTTTATCTTGTTTTTTCGCAATATCAGAATCTTGCCAGGCTCGGCGCCACTGTCACCGGAATCGATGCTGCTATGGAGAACATATCGGTAGCGAAGTTGCACTCGAAAGGGGATCCTTCCTTGGCCAAATTACTGACATATAAGCACATCACAGCTGGTATGTGTGACTGCGCTTCCAGCACGGGCCACGTTGATAGTTCTCTTGCTATGCGTACTTTTGTGGAGTTTTATCTTCTTAGGAGTCGCCTGGGGGACTACTTTCTATTAGTACTGTTGTCCTTCGCAAAAATTGCGGAAAGATCTGGTTTTCATGTAGGTGTGCGATCATACCGCTTAATTTCTCTACCGCATAGTCTTATATGCGCAAAAACCTTGTGTCTTCCCCGCCATCTTGTGCAGTAACCTTGCACTCATCTTGAATTATGCTTCTTACCTGGTCGTTGTAAAGAGGATGTTCAAGCTAGTGGTCAAACTTTTGATGTTGTCGTAGCATCAGAGATAATCGAACATGTGGACGATCCACAAGAGTTTGTGAAGACATGTAGTGCAATGGTCAAGGTATGCACTCCTTTCATATATATATATAATTTTTTTTTGAGATCTAACATGAATTTTATCGTTGCTTGGAGAACGTCTAAAACGATTAAAACGTTTGGCACGTTTGTGGTCACGGGTGTTTGACACAGCTTAACTCTGTTTTCTACATTTATGCTCGTTAGCCAAAGGGAGTCTTCATTGCCTCGACTATAAACCAAACATGGCAAGCCTATGTTCAGACTGTTGTTCTTGCCGAGCATGTACTCCGATGGGTACCAGTAGGTGTGTCCGGAGATATCCCTCTCTGTATTTGTCTGGTTATATTTCAAGTTTTCATTCCAATTGGTTTTTAGATTTCGTATCTTCAGAAGCCACGCAGCAAAGTCTTGCTCCATACGATGCTAAGCGGAGTCTTTTGGACTTTGGGGGTGGAGCAAGCGATAGTGGTAGTGAACGATAATACTGCGATCTCCGAGGTTCATCATACACATGGCGATACTCACACTGCCAGTTTTGCTTTTTTTTTAACCATCAGGGACGCATATCTATTCCAAGTTTATAACGCCCTTCGACATGACGGCGTATTTGGGCCACGCCGGTCTTTCCGTAGTGGATACTCAGGGAATGTCGTACGATCCGGCACTGAAGTGGAGGCTCACAGATGACACATCCATAAATTACATCACGGCCGCGGTCAAGCCAGACTCGGGAGATGCTGGTGCTCCGCAATCTGCTTTGTGAAGCTGAGGGATATCTACACGCGCTTGTCCTAGGCTTGTGGCTGTAATGATATGCTGGAAATGTACAGTACCCTACGCGGAAGCACGCCCCGTATGTATCTTCTACCTGCACCATGGCGACGGTTAGACCTGAGATATGAAATACAATCTGACTGGAATATGCTGCTTTAAGCTACGGGTGCACACGCTGGATATTCGTTATCTTGCTATAGTCGAGAGCAGCCAGAGGTTCGCAGTAGGGATAGAATTGGCTGTTCCGGTTTGCTTAAACACAGTGTAATCAACAGCTGGATACCGACTTACATTTGCGACCAGATACATGTGGCAGTGACTGAAATGTTGCTTCGAACACGAACCTTAACACGATGAAAATACGATGTGGAAACCCATTAGTAGCACTAGCTGTATATTAGTTTCGTTGATCCTCCCTGTACAGGCAACAATAATGCTGGCCACAGTGTGGCACATTTAGACGTCTAACGAACGTGGATCGAAGCTACGAATGATGATGATAAAGAATACCACATATGGTTGTAGACGAAGTTCCCCTCACCCCTCTGTAGCATCTGCGGAGTGGCATATGCTTACACAGAGTTGCTTAACGCAGATTTCCCACACACCGAGGCAGGTGGCTCATTACTAAATTTATTCTTGTACACTATATGCCACATCCCCGTTATGGCCTACCCTCCTTTACCTTAAAAACGATTAATCAAGTTTATGTTTACACAAGGCCCACGGTATCCGTAGTTAAAAAGCACTATGCAGACATGATGGCGGTGCATCATGCGCTTGTCATCTCCATTTAGTGAGTTAAAGGCATTGGACGGCAGTATGCAAGCCTTGCAATCTGCTTATTATTCGATCTGAGAGCTCAGATCATCTATAAGATTTGCCGTGGCCTGTTGCATCCTTAGGTTATGCAACCTACGCTCCTCTCTAATTTGTTCTATCTCTGCGTCATGGACAAGTTTTCGTGCCGCCCTGTCTGCTGGCGGATCTACCTTATCCTCCAGCATCCACCCAGCTTGCATAGCTACGCCCCCCACAAGCCCTACAATATGGAAGAGATGCATTAGTACCGTTACAATATGAAAACACAATGCAAGGACATGCATACGTACAACTCCACACGGTACAGCGCTTGGACAGTAATGGCGACATGATCTTTGTCAATCTAGGTGTAAAGCAGTCCTTAACCAGTAAAAAAATACTGTATCTGGCCCAAAGGAACAGCGAAATTAGGAGCAAAATCGGTTAAATAGGGACCCACGTGATGTACGCCAATCAACTAACCTAGTACTGATCCGTGCATGGCTCCCGTTGCCATGCCCTGCAATCCATAAGGAATCCAGAACAGTGCACCCGTCACAGTACCTGCAATATAACAGTAGGGCAACGATTGTTGAGAAGAAATTAGGCAAACCTATTGAAGAAGAAGAAATTTGTTGCTAGACATATTAAGCCCCTGTGGCGAAGTGTGGGATCAAGCGGAGAATTTAAGAGATAAGTTATATTATGCAAACATATTCGACAGATGTTGCGAGTATTTGCGAAGACACACCTGCTCCCATGACATTCAAGGCGTCTTTCTTCTGCCGCACAACTGAGGCGCCGATGTGCAACGCATTGAAGCAACCCTGCACACAACCGAAGTGAGGGGAGACATTCAAAAGCACAGAAAGGTCAAAGAAGTAATGACGGTGGCATACATGCGTGTCACGCTCAGTTAAAGAGATTCAATCTACACTTAACGAATCAAAAAGATCATAAGCGATTCAACACAACACGGGTTCAGATTACTCGTGGCGGAATTTATACATGTCAATATGACAATGTCGTATGTAGTAAGCTACCGAACCAATATAATCATGAAAATGAAATAGTGTCTGTGTGTAGAGCCGCCACGAGTGTGCTTGATTTCCATTTTGAAAAGCGTACAAATGTAACGAATTTTATATGTAAAAAGCATGTTTTCCAGTATCATGGCTGTCAAAATTGGATACCTACCATCAATACGAATCCGTACAAAGTCCAACGACCTCCAATTTGAGCGAATGCCCTGCCTGCAGCCATGTTCAATTCTGATTGCGCATGCCTGACCCCTTTGTAGACTGTATTCTTATTTTCTTTGATGTGCCTCTGTTGAATAGGAGCATACATTGGGTGATAATCCGATGTCAGTCTAAATCTAGTAGACTATTGAGTATTCATAATAGAATTCGTCTTTATTTATCTGAATGTCTGCAACACAGCAGAACTTATCAACGCGCACGAATCTACTCCAAATACTAACAGGCGTCTTCAATAAATGGCAGCGGTGTTGCTCGACAACTCGTATGCTTTCTCGACATTGTTCGGACAGACACAGGCAAACCTTAACACGAAGTTTCATAATAATAGACAATTTGGTGCACATATGACCGGCAGGTACACAATTTTATGTACTACAGCGCATTCGATGATCACACACCTCACCCTCTAACCGCGCAGCGTTCATGCCAGCGGCCACACCAGCGCAGAGTGTACCCGCTGAGGTCATCGTGACCCAATCTCGGAACTCTGGCGTCAATTCGGTCTCTGGATATTGCTCGCGATCCTAGAGGTTGTGTGATACATGCTGTGTTTAGTATCAAACGGAACATCCTACTCAATATTGATGATTAGTACCCTTTAATAGTATGGTATGGTAACTACTATTAGTATTGGTAATCGGCACACCAACCTAAGATTCAATTCTTCTCTGACACATGTTTACCAAATTACTAGCACTGAAATATTCATGAGAGGGTACGTCACATGCTGGAATATTGACTCTAAGGCAAAGACTGACCGCGAACATCATCATGAACGAAGAAAGACTAGGCTATATATATATATATATATATATATATATATATACGTACACATATATATATACACATATATATATATTAATATATAATATATATATATATATATATATATATATATATATATATATATATATATATATATATATATATATA